GCTATGCATGCATACATGTACATACACTGCTCCATCATGAGCTTCTCAATTTCAAGATCATTCCATTTCAACCGAAATTACAACAAACCTTGCAATATCTACATCATATAAAACCCTTTTCCTCATAATTTGTTCATGGCCTTTCGGTCCTAGTATCAATCCTGCACCCTGCCTTATCCAAAGTATCTTGTCCCTTCATCTTAGGTTTTGTTGCTAATAACTTTTGGGAGAAAAGATTTGCTTACGCATGAAATCAAGCCATCAACATAAAACCTTTACAATTCCTTGTCGATCCAGTTGCTGGGTTGATGAAAAAGTTAAAGGCAAAGAATATTTGGGTATTATGCGTAAAAACAAACACTGAAGAGAAAGAGATTGTACATACATGTGCTCATATTTCTTACGCCAAAACTCACGAAATACACCGTTAACTTTTCTTTGCAAAATAATTCTTTTTTTGGGGGTGGTGGTCCCAGGTCAATAATGATGCAATCATGAGGCTAACATCGCAACCATTAATGTCTGAATTTTTTATCAATAAAAGAAAATGTTTGGAGTTAATTAACAGAGTTGGAATTTTTAGTTCCATAAGTTGACCATCAATTCTGCTGGAAGTTGCCAAGTCATCAACAACTGATTTTCTGCATCTGTATAGTATTTGCTTGATGAACAGTGTGCAATAGCTACCTCCAAAAAATATCAATAATAAAATTCTGATATTAAGAGTTACACCTCTGACCATGTCTTGACATTTGCATTGCCGTGTCAATTCTTTTTTTCATTTGAAATGGCAGGGAATGCAACCCTGAATGGCACGGGGTAATTTTTCCTTTCAAGCTGCCCTAGTTGGAAAAAGAACATCCATAGGATAGTAAACTTACTCTTGTATAAATGAATCTGCAATAAATCTCTAAATAGTTTCGTTTTAATTAGCTTATATATAAGCTGCTGCTTTAGTTGTAACATTCAAAGAGAGTCAAAAATGCAATTTACATCCTCCCTGCTACACTTTATGTAGAGTACCAAAAATGTAACGTCATTTTAAGCCAGGAAGTGCAGCACAAACAAATGGAGTATACGTGAGTGATGGTTTTCGATGGTTTTTGCGCTGGTTCTCGCACCAATTTCTTTACACACATAAAATTTAATGAAAGCTGTGAATGTGACATATTTCACTTCTGGTACTCTATACAGGCAGACCAACAGTCAGATTATAACTCATGGTACTATATGACCAGTCAAATTCAGTCAACAGATAAAAGCAGGTGACTGGTAGTCAAAGCTGGCTCATCAATCACTAAGGGTCAAAGCACAGCTATTTCAAGTTCTATCAATACTCACAGCCAATCAATTCTCCTAAATGTATATGTAGGCAGGAGGACTGTAATCTACAAAAACAAAAGTCACTTGACTGATAAGCCAACTTTTTGCTGAATGCACATTTGCATAGGAGGGTTTCAATCTTTAATAAGCATACAAAATGCCACTCTCAACCAGCTTACCCACCTGACACTCTAATGTTAAGCTAGTCAAATTGTTCCATACATCTTCCTATTACATTGGCGATACTGGTACAGCCCAAAGTGAAAACATTAGGATGCACTGTCACCGCCAGCCAGGTATAACACCCAACTGACACCCTGATGTTGGGCCATTCCAAGGATCCAGTGCATTTCACAGAATTAAATCCCTTATCAAACCCCCACCCTCACCCCAGGACAAGACGTGTTCCCTTAATTTTGCCCTTGACACATTACATCTTTCCCAAGCTCACACATGATACATCTTTAAGGCAAGGTACAGTGTACATGTACACTGTCCCGCCATGCAGCTGGGTTTGCACCTAAATGACATGATGTTGGGCCATTCCTAGGATCCAGCATACGCTACTCTTACTGTTCCCCTATATGCATGTGAGTCTATTTTGAAAGTCCAGTTTGTCTCAATTTAACATTCAATTCATGTAAATTTAATAACAATTCAGTAAAAATAGGACAAATTTTGTGAGCCATGAAAGAAACCATATTTTCTTCCTCCCTGGAAATCTTAGAAGACTGAGAACTCTACTGCTGGATGGAGAGAATGGAATGACAAACTGTGACAGGTCTCTTTTACTGAAAGAATTATCATTGTGATGAGCAGTCAGAGGTTTTCATCTGCTACTTAAGGAGAGAAGTCCTTTGTGTGGCAAACAGTCACATCAATGTACATCTGGTCACAAGTCTATCACTGAATGAAGCGATGTCTTTGGGATGAACCCTGCCAGGTCTCTGCTAACTATACACAGTGGAGTTGAGATGGTACCGTGAACAGCCAATTCTATGGCAGGAAGACTGTATGCTACTGGAGAGAGGGATTTTATCGTGATGAAATGTCACAATCTCCCTTTTCTACAGAGTAGTAGGCACATACACTGATGAATTACCTAAACAGGTGTCCATTTTCTGCAGGGTGATGGAGTGATGTCCCAAGTCCAGCCTCCAACTGGCTGACAAAATTTCACTGTGATGAACCTTACAATTTCCACCTTGGAAGTGCATGCCTCATTGTGAAGAATTCTCTCACAAGTTTCCGCTCACTACTTGCTGAGTGGTAAACATCACTGCAATGTCACAAGACTGCACTGGGCCACTGGGTAGAAAGACATCACTGTCCCCAATCTCCAATGGCTACTGGTCAAAGAGATGACACTGTGATGAACTGTCACACAAAAGTCTCAATTTACATCAGGGTGGAGGATATTACATTCTTCCCCAGGCTCTATGTTGGCCACTTAATTTGCAGGCAATTGATTTACTGGAGTAGGTTTGGCTTGGTTGTTCAACTGTCAAGGTCAGCATGCAAATCATCATCACGGTCCCCACATGCATGCTGAGCACGGTGGTTTCTATCACTTGCAAACTCTCTCCACTACACTTCAATGGAAATATTTCCGTTCTGCAGATGAACTTATAAACTCATCTTCTCTCCCAAGGGCAGATGAACATTGTGTGCATTGTTTTGAAGCATTATACATATACACTGAAGCAGCATTTGGTTCTCCTTAAAAAAGGTCGCCATACTTTGGAAACCTTTAAAAACAACATCTACAAGGATCCAGAGTTGTGAAAATATGGTTTCTTTTCATTCAACTGGTTAGAGGTTTGAAGGGATAGCATGTATGTCCTGGAAAAACAGCACATTTCGTGTGCTATCACCAGATATACAAAGTAATGAAATGTTGCTTTACATGGTTTAATGCTGTATAAATGACTCTGATTTAATGAAAATGCCGCACTCTAATCAAATTGAATACATGCACTTCTTTGGGTCAGAAAATCAATCCATTTTTTCAAACCATGGAATTTAAACTTTATCTCCGATTTAAACCTCAGTGGTGAAAAACTCTGTGTGCAGCATTACAACATTTTTATTTCAGACAAAACCTCATAAAAATTCTTTGTTAATGGGAGTGGAACGATTTTCAAAAGGGTGGGGGCATTTGTGACACCATTGGGCATCAGCCATTAATAGGACTTGATGCCAAATGTCTTGCCCCAGGTCAAAAAATTAAGGGGTGGGGCAGTTCCCCACGGGTCCTGCTTCTGTTGCTGGCATTTGTTAAATGTTGTAAACAGGAAACATGTGTAAAGGCTTCATATGTATAAATGATTAGTTTCAACTTTATGCTACTTTTGTTCAGACAATAGAAATGAGTGATTTTTAAAGTTAAATGTTGGGATCTTTTACGATCCATAGATAGCCCAGAAATGGGTCGTTTAAAAGTTCATACATTAACAGGCTATTACTAAAAAGAGTCCTCAATCCTTCAAAAGGTGAGCTACATGTACATGCATTAGGATTTGATTAAATCAGGTCTGCTATGGCATGCCGTTACAGAATTATTACAGTCAAAGTTTTCTTGAGTATACATTTTGCATATTGTCCCAGGTTCGTGGAAACATGTCAAAAGATACTCAGCAAAACTTTGCACATGTATAATTACATAGTCAAACTTTAAAAATATGAGAAACAGTGCATGCAGTTACGTACTAATTTGATTATATGTTGCATATGCTAATTGGCAATGCACATGGACATTTGGATTACTCATTTAGAAATGTTTTTCATCAAATGAAAAGAAATTTTGTATCAATTTGAATTTTTTTGGAAGTGTTGGCATACCACATCAATCACATGCTAAAATAAACTTCATTTATTCAAAATTCAAGGGAATACCAGAAATTGATGGTAATCTGAATGTTCTGGGGGGATACAGAGATTCATCTAAAGCAATTTCATGTACTTTGCATATTTTAGTGGACCAGTGTTAGCTAGGCCTTAGGTTGTTTGAAATTTAAAGAACCCCCCTAAAAAAAGTTGACTAAGGCCATATTTTACCAAGGACAATAACTGCAAAACAAGAGCAAAACAAATCTTTTCAAGCAACATCAAGTTGAAAATGTAGACCGAAATGGCATACAATTTTTTTTAATTGGTTGATAACATATTGCTGCAAAGCAAAGTATTTTCTTTTCTAAAAAACATAGGTACTGTTCTGTACGCTTTCGGAAATTGGACCTGATTGACTAGTAATGAGATTTTCTACAAAAGAACCTATAATGAATTAAAAAATTCATCAGAAATGCTTTACAGTACCACTGTATGCTTTCACAAACAGCATTTTCAATCTGCATTTTTGGTAACTTCTTGCAGTTTGTACTGAAGTGTTATTACTGATGAAATCTCATTTTCTATATGAAAGCCTTTTATGAATAATGGCTTCTAACAAAGTCAGCAGAGATTTTGACCAATGCAAGTGCATGATTTTGAACAGAGTTTTTAAGTTCACTTGTTTTGGATGTATTCTGGAAGTGCCCAAAGATAATCAGCAATACTCTGAAAAAAATACAGGGGAGTATTGGGCATTTCTAATTTCAGCACCTTGTGAAACAAATGCATAAACTTGAGCACTTTGGCAGCAGTTTCCACAAAACGCAAAAACAGGATGAAAAGGGAATAACATGTTCATCCCACTGTAAACATTGAAAGGAGCTGTAGGCCTACAATTGGAGCAATTTCTCATTCTTAGGTGGATTCCAATATTAAAAGAGCATGCCATGTTTTCTTGGTCCACAAATGGGACAATACTTACCTGTTTGCAATATTTGAGATGTTTGTAATTAAAAAGAATGCCGAAACAACTGCATGCCCAGATAATGCTGGAATCCACTGAGCAGACTTAATTGAGGATGTCAAGACATGGTCTCATGAAATGTTTTATACATCACCGTCATACAAGGTGAAACTACCTCATCAGAACTTTTCAAAGAAATTTGTGTATTCACTCACTGTACATGACAATTGAGAACTAACAGTGTACCCAAGGAATCTATTCAAATTTTGCGTTTTGGAGTGTAACAGGGAGGAAACTTTGTAAAACATATGCAAAGGATTTCAAACAACTACATGCGTAATCACAAATAGAAAGTAAGACCAAGACAAGTTTGTAAAAAACTTGAAATACATTTTGGTCTATGGTTTAAATTTTATATTCGTGGTCTCATGCAAAGACACTGCAATTATACTACTTTTTTGCTTCAGTCCACAATTACTAACAATATTTTGGCAATCTACAAACCACAGCCTGGAAAAAATTTAGTGCACTGATGGTGCTTTCACACGCCATTCTCTTGGAAACGGGTACCCTTTTTCTTATAAGGTTTGATATCCCAACATGGAACTACATGTGAGTTCTATTAAAAATCTTTAGCCACATAATTGCCATGCAAACTTTCTTTGCTGTATGTTGCCATGCAGCCCGGAGAAATGGGATGTCCTTGGGAATGTTTTGAAGATAAATGTACTCTTTGGATGCCAAAAACAATTCATTACTCGATTGTTCTCGTTTTCAGAAAGTTTTTCAAAAATTTTTCTTCAGACATTTTCTCCAGAATTTCACAAGCAATATTTATAACCGGGGAAAAGATGACTCATTTAATTGCCCTCCATTTTCAGTTCGATATTGGGTGTACATGTATTCATTATGGATATCTGACTGAATATGAGCACATTAATGTACGGTGTTTATATATATGCCAAGGACGATTCATTTATACGAGGAGATGGATGTTCTTCATAGATAACATAGAAGGGACATCACAAAGATGCAATTATTGAAAAAATTCACTGAACATGTGCAGTTGGGACCCTACACGTACATGAAAAACCTAAAAATTCATACGTGATGTAAGACTCAAAGACATCATCAACCTCACCTGGATCTCAAGGTACATTGTAATTTTAAACACTGTTTCAAGACGGTTTGCAGGAAAATCACTAAATAGGCCTCAGCTCAAATATTGAGTGAAATAAATTAATTTTTATACAGGTTTAATTCTCAAAGTTCAGTAAATGGGAACAGATGCAGCTTCGACAATAGTGCATGGAAATCAGGGATGAATTTCACAAGTGAAAATTTTCTTTGATGCTGGAGGAATACCAGTCAATAAGCAGAATGCACCTCTGTTGAAAAGCAAACAGATTCATTTGCATATTGAAGGTTTTTGTTTGGTAAACTCAACTCGTGGGACATGAGGCAAGGAAGAAGGCACTAAACCAACTTGGTTCCCCTGAACGTATAGGCTTTGTAAATGAATGAAAAATTGACTGGGAATTTGAAATGCAACAATTCAATTTAAGGTTTTCACAAAATAAACTACCAGTCAGAAGTTCAGGGTATTTGTACTATTGCTTGGAGAGGGACTGGTCGAGCACGGACATAAAGTCTCAAACTGTAGCATCTCAGTTTATTTTTATCGCACGACTACTGTACACAGATGGAAAGAGTTTGGGTTAGAGTATAGATCTGTACCTTCCTTGCTCCATCAAAACATGCATCAGCTGCACAAACGTGGCCGTGGTACAAAAGGGGCTTTCCAGGGATATCAAAAAATTCCGGACAAATGTCTCAAAGAGACACTCGTGAGCCCCTCTAATATGTTTGGGCCATGAACCACATCTGAATATTTTGTTACATGCAGCCCAAGTCTTGAAAGCACACTGTGATAAACAGGCTTGCTTGGAAACCCAGTCTTCAGACTTAGTATTGCCAATGTTTATCGCGGAATGCAGTTTCAACATTTCACCATCCTCAATGTACATGTGCGTGCAAAGTTTTCAATATGGAAACTTGTCTGTTTCCTCAGGAATCATTTAACTCTAACCACAAAAGGACTGTGTTATTTATATGCATTTTGGGGTTAAGGTTAACAACCGAGTTGACCAATTTCTATAACTTCTTGTGCTTTTTTGGTTTGAAACACCTGATTCCAACAAGTGAAATTTTGGACGCTTTAATGGAGCATGGAACAGATCACGTTAGCAAGGGCTTGTGACTCTTACCTTTACAATATCCTGCCTTCAAGTTGAAGGTCCAACCACGTACCGGTTCTTGGTGACTTTTTGACCAGAGCAAGTGCTGATTGCTGTTGATGAAAAAGGCAAAATTAAGACAGGAATTTTGTTACAAATTGTCGGCCAAACCCCTGCTAGCATCAGTTGCACTCAGGTGTGACAATCTTTTTTTGCTGACAGTTTCTTGTTAAATATACCTGTAGCTAGAATCATGGTTCCTGACGTTGGTGGTGCTATATCCAATATGCTATGTTTGGAATAATTGTACGACTGTTGTTTTTGACCTTGATAACACCTACTTATATTGAAGAATAAAAATGTGATTTGTGGAATTTACTTACCTTAATTGACTTTAAAACTTTGAATCCGTAGTAAAATCTTTTGCCAAAAATATTCATACGACTCACAAAATGACATGGAAATGTCCACAGAAATCCCAGTTTCAGAGAAATATGACTTATTAATATCCTAGGTGGGCTTTGATTTTATATTTTCATCTTATCTATGGTATTGGTTGGATTAGATTTGCATTTAAGATGAAAACTGAAACGTGGTGATTATTATTACTAATTACCTTGCACATTATCTTTATCAGCTCTGCTCCACTGTTACGAAGGGGGCACTGAGAGCGAACCTCCCCCTGGGTTGGGAGAAAATTCTGGTTCACTCCCTCCCCCTCAAATTTCAGTTTCATATTGTATACAAGATACAGATACATTTATTTGAAATTGCATGTACATGTAATTTCAAAGTTCATATCTTACAAACTGCCTAAAAATGACTAAAAGGTCAAATATTGGTGCACATATATTTTATCATAACTTTCGTTCTAGCAATCTTGAGGTGGAAGACCTATCATTTGAATGCAAATGTACAGCCTTAGAAGATGTAACAAAACTAACTGGAGCATTGTGAAATTTCCATGAATCTAGCTATTAGAAAGATTAAATGTGGTGACTTTTGGTAATTAAATGGCAAGTATCTTACAGTAACAGTGTCTGCTAGAACCGAAAATATAAGTGAATTATGCACTGTACTTACAAATTCATTTTTAGCAAGCTTCGACCACTAGCCATCTCAATCACCCCTTTCGTCAGGTCATGGAGAGGGTCATGTCTCATTTCCATTCAGCTCCTGTAGGTCAAGAAATTTCGTTACGTTGAAATTTCTAAGCTGTCTTGACATGCAATATATCATTGTCAAGGGAGGGCTTCATGAAGACCCTTCTGGGAAGGAGGAAGGAATTCCATGCACGGACGCCACTAATTTTTCCAGGCAGTGACCTATTTTTAGTAGCCATTTGAGAACTATAAAATGTCCTAAAAAGTCAAATTTAGCATTGAAATTATTGAGGTATTCACTTAAAAATCACTTATGAAATTCTTTCTAGACTTTGGAATGTTTAAAGGCTGACCAACCTTGCTGTGTTTACACATAACAAAATGGCGTCTGAATTTAAAATCTTTTTCTTGCACATTATCATCACCGATATCATAATCGAGCTTAATGTTACATTTTGAAGCCCTAAGATTCAGAAGCCTCATCTTACAGCTCGGGACCTTGTCTTTATACAGCTAAAGTACAGAAAACTTGTCTGGCACAGTCAGACGAATCGACGGAATGAACAGGCCTGGGGCCCACTAGTACTGTATGGTGACAATCATTGACAACGTAGGCCTACCTGAAGTGGTGCGCTTTGTCGTCGCCGCCGCCTTCGTTGCGCTGTTGTTTTGAACGTACTGACATGACTGATGAGAAAATGTAAAAAAATACCGTTTCCTGAGCTCTTCTGGTGTTTAAGCACTACCAACATAAGATGAAAATTTCTCCTAGAAATCTGCAGGATACCCTGAGATGTGTTTTGTCTTCCAGAACATGCGTTTCATAGCAGTTTTAGTGAAACAAAAAGGGTTTCACAGAACCGTTAATGGCGGCCCAAACACGCCGCTCGTGTACGTTTCTGCCCTCAAATTCCTTTGTGCATTCCTAACACGTGGTCTCGCATAAACGAAAAATAATTCCGCCCATGACTCAGCCAATCACAGGGAAGGGAATTTCTCGTAGACCAATCATGCTTCTTAGCAGGACAACAAATCGAAAATTAATCTGCATAGGCCTACAGGCACTGCCATTTAAAGTTTTTGTTGGATAGGGAGAAATTAGATCGTGAATTTTTACAAAACGCGATTCGTATTTCTAAATGATCTTCTTGTTCTCCTTGTAAAGTGTATCCTCCAGAAATGTTCCAGACAAGTCAGGGATGGCCTTTTCTTTTGCAGAAAATGTCACAAGGAATTAACTTTAACTGCAATTTTAACGTAGTACGAATAAAGTTTAACACACTAATGAGGCAGATTAAATAATGAGATTTAAGAAACAAGAAGATGGAGAGGAGGGGGGCAAGATGTTCTCCTTCGTTTCATAACCCCCCCCCATACAAATACGCTTGAATTTTTCAGCATTTGGCAAATTTCAGTATACAAGTTTTTCCTGTGACTACGACTATTAACTATCAAAATCTCTTCCCTATTCTTTTTCGGTCATGTTTCTGTGCTTTATTTCCAAATGGCTGTCCCCCTTCAAAACGCTCCTTCAGAAACGGGTCCAGAATCACATTGAGGAGGCACTAAAAGGGAGGGACAAGACTTGTTTCAAGGGGCATTGATTGGATTTCCTTTAATGTAACATTTTCTGGCCTTTTTGAAGGGTGATGCTACATATCGGAACTTTTTACATTTATTTAGAAAAAAGGGAAATGAAATAGACCAACACACCCCAAAAACACTTTTCACAAATTATGTTTCCGAAAAATTGCCCCTTTTTTGGTAGGAAGAGTGGCCTTCAATACCCATCAGCCCCAACCCTTGGATCCCCCATCCCTTAATACAGTCACTTATCTCGACTATAAAATCCAAATGAAACACACTGCCACATAATAAAAGCACATGCCAACGTAACTAGCATTTAATTCATCCCTTAAAGTTTTCTTCTGAGTATATAAACAGCCATTTCTTATTAATAAAACGAATGAGGGTAATTCCAGAAATTAGGGGTCCATTTCTTCGTGTCCCTGTCACATCTGACACATGATTTTGTAAGTTCGGAACACATTTTCTAATTTCCAAGAGTGATGAATTAATGCAAATTACCTGCCAAAAAATAGTAATAGTTTGAAATCAATTCCGGTGATATTTCCATGTCAAAGAACAAAGGTGGGATGTAACAAGGACAAAAAATGTCAGACTTTTGGAACCCTGATTTCTGGAATTACCATGATTAATAATGAACTGACAGAAAGTCAGGGCAAGGCAATAAATTCTGACCCATTCTAACTTATTCTGGAGTCTCAGAAAATCACAAGCATTATCTGAACAGTCTTTAAACATTAAATTGCTGGCAACATTGAAGTTGAGGATAACACTGACACACTAAAGGATAAAGGTGAAATTACCCTGGGTTAAGCACCTAACTTTCTGCTCAAAGCACCTCTATTTCATTTAGACATTTAAAAACAAAACGGGCAAAAGGTATCCACTGCAAAAGCAGACTACTTGGAACTGTGGTACAACAGAAATCTCCATGTCGAAGTTTATTGTAATGCTTCAGGTTAGCACCTGTTCAGATCCATTACTTGCATATATTGATGGGCAAGTGTCACAACCATTTTCACTTTGTTCTTATCAGTGTGGAAAATGAAGAAATTTTGAGAAATAAAGAGGAAGGAGGAAATTACCTTTAAATGTGCAGCAATCATGAAATATAAAGGATACTTTTTCCCAACAGATTGTATACTCACTTTGAACCAAAAAACCTGGCATGCTGATGATTTTGTAGCCTGAATGCGACCACATTCCTTTCTGTCAGAAATTCTGGGTAACAGTCATTCGCGGTGGCCTCTGGTGCCTGATTTTTGCACAGCAAATAACAGGCATTAAGTACTACTTGTACTTGAATATATACTTGAATACTTTTAACATTTCAAAGTCTGAGTAAATTTGAAAATACAATTCAACATTTTGTAACAGTTAGCTCAAAAAAGTGAATTGCAGAATTCATCAAATTGGTTTCAAGTTAATAGACATTGAGACAATCCTCAAACTCTCTTTTCTGTAAATTTAAATTTAGTCAAGACTCCCCTCCATCCAAAGAAGAAAGTTCAACAATCGAACTTTAAACTTTCTCTTCCATTCCGTTAAAGTGTGCTTAAATTTCCCAGGAAGCAAAATGTACGTCTACATCTACATTACAATTGTCTTCAGTCAGTGTAAATGATCACTTTTCCTGTTAAAAAACCACGGTCACTACCAAATATCTGACTTCTCAGTTAGGGACTACAGAGTGGTGACTTCACAATCTTCTTCCCCTCTAGCACCAGGGCCAACGGTGGTATGTCCACGTGGACAGGCTTGGCAGTAGGTGCTGCCCTCTTGTGATTGGTACATGCCAGGTGGGCAGGCGTAACAAGCCTCTTGGTAGTGATACCAGCCTGACTCACAGGGAACTGAGGAGAGAAGATAGGGAATTGGTATCGGGATTATTGTAGAAGGTTTTTGTTCCTACAATGTCAGTGTGGATCAGCCAAAGTTAGATACACTCCATCCAAGGAACACTTTGAATGAAAGTTTGTAAACACACACAGCTGCAAAAATGACACAATATTGGTAAAGATTATTCTCTGGTAATTATAACCACTCAACGCTTCATCATATGAAATCTGTGATTCGTATAAAGACTCAACAGATTATCACCACCATGCACATTCAAGAACTGGGATTATGCTGTGCATTAATTACACACAGTCAACAGTTAGCCACCGTTCTTGAACACTTCATTCTGGATGACACGTCATGTATCAGGTGAAATGTACTTGCTCCCATGCTAGAGTGATTCTCACTGCGTTTGTACTCACACAGAGGCTTAATCTAATGCATGGAGATATTGAGCATGTGTGGAGCTCTAAAGTAACCATGGACCACAGCTAGGTGTCATAGCAAATATCACTTCATCACATTGTCTCAGAGTTTCCAATAAGCAATGGAACAGAAAGAAATCTCACACATACATTGAACAAATGATTTGGGTCTCTTGTTTTCAATAGTCAACATTTTTGCCGAAAATATAATACTGTGGTTGGGACAGGTTTCTTTTGCAATAACATTGTCAGCAAGTGGTAAAAAAAGAAAATGTCAATACCAAACCAAATTTGCCAATTAACGCAAACAGTCCTCAATCTGTCACCTGTTGGAGAAACGACGACAGTAAGGCAGAAGACAGCCATTGCAACAACAAGTGCTTACCACATCGTGCATCCTCTGGGCTCATGCGCACCGAGCCGTGGGGACAGACTTGCATGCCATAGGTCTGGGTCTTCTGAGAGTCAATATCGTAAACCTGGCTGTCAATGTTCACAGCAAACTGCTCCGACAGGGACTGATTGATCAGAAGAAGTGCTGCATCTTGCAGTGCACTGACTGCCTCCAAAGTGCTGTTGTGGCTGGTCACTGGATAAGTTGTACGGAGAGAGAGGACAGACGTTAGACCTTTCTTCCATTACCATAAAAGTTTTCACAGGGTGTTTGGTTAGAAACCGGCCACTCTATCCTCAGTCACTATACTAATAGATGTTCTGAATTTGTATCACAGGTGTGCTTCAGGATGACTGCAAGTGATCTTAAAAACTCAGTCAGTGACAAGAATTAGAAGCCATTACCAGCATGCAGAAGGTACATGCACATCTCTTCCACCACTAGGGAGCCATAACTTGCCAAAGTACAGCACACCTCCTGTTATTATGTCCGTATTTATGTAATGCCACAGCAGAAATGTTATCTCCTTGGATTAGTGTTGTGTAGATGAAGCATTGACAAGCATGCTGGTTGGTTGCTAGCCATTTCTTTGGAGTCAATTCATTTACCACTCCACCGTAAGTAATTGTAAGCTACTCACAGTCATCCGGTTTCAAAACAGATTTTAGAACAGAATAAAGATGGATTCTACATTAGCAAAAAGACCTAATGAATGGGCTTTACAAAGCCATGTAGTCTCAAATTTGATTTTCAGAAAGATGACTAGGTTCTTTATGGTTTAAATCGATTAGATAAACTGAGAATAGTCTTTAGCATCTCATTAATTCTTCATTAAAATGATGTCATCAAACTTTTAGTGAGGAGGGCTACTGTAGTTTCAAACAGCCTGAGCTGCTGTCTCTTCTCGTTATCACCTTCCCTGAGGATTGTTCCTTAATTGACTATACTAGATGACAATGTAACCTTGGATTTGTTACAGTTATTAACTCAATCAAACTAAATGTGTCTTGACCATGGCCAGGGTTTGACTATGCTACACTGATGGGATCAGCCTTCATTCTCTCACCTTGTTCACTGGTCAGGTTCTGTTGGTCAGGGACATGGATATCACGTTCCAGTCTGATGGTAATTTGGATCGGCTCAACTGATCGGTGGTGCCGTCTGTGGGTCTGGTCTGCTGGACTCAGGGTGCTGCAGCCACTGACCTGAGGTATGATAAGGGATCATGTGAGGTACACAAGTGGTCTTCAGTAAGGTTTTGTAATCATCAGCTCAAGCTGTGTGCAGATCAACTGGCTGTGGCTGAGAGTATCACACAGCTCTCTAATCATCAGCTCAGGCTGTGTGCAGATCAACTGGCTGTGGCTGAGTGTATCACACAGCTCTCTAATACATCAGCTCAGGCTGTGTGCAGATCAACTGGCTGTGGCTAAATGTAAAACACACCTCACTCAGCCCAGGCTGTGTCTGGATCAACTCGCTAAGGCTCAGAGTAACAAAACATCAGCCGGCTGTGGCTAGGAGTAATGAATACATCAATGAGAAGTGGCTGCAGCCGCTATCCAATGGCTGTCAGTGGTAAAGGTGTTTTTCTCAGCTAAAGCAATTTTTTTCGGGGATGCAGTCTCAATAAAATGCATTTGGCACAACTGGCAAGGTAAGACATCAGGAATGCATAAGATCAAAGGCACAGTCGATCAAACTGCAGTTTTCCAAAAAAGTAAGTGATGCAATTTTTGTGAAAAGCATACTTGGTTTGAAGATGTTTGTGGGACTACACTCCCAGTGAAATCATTCCTTCTTGCAAGGTGTCATTTTGAAAAAAAATGGTGCAAGAAGGCCATTTCCAATGATGCATCTAAAAACTACCCATTTTTGAAAAATTGCTAGCATGTGCAAGGGCTGACATGACACCTGATTACTAAAATTTGTCGGTTCAGAGATGACATAGTGAAGCCCCATTCAACTAAATGTGAGAACATGCCCTAGATGCTGAATTCAGGTGCAACTCAGCAACTTTTTATCTCCTATCAAAAAACCAGAATTTTGATTTTTCGGAATAGACAGTATTCACTGAGCTGAAACTTCATCAGGTTTGTTCTTCAGCATCCTTCTAGAGATTTTGAGTAATTTAGTTGCCTCAAAGGAACATAATACACGAATGACAAATGATGGACAGCACCCTTAAAGACGCTTAAATAACAAATCAACACAAGTGTTATCTCACTTGAATAAAACTACAGGAGAAAGTTTTGTGGTGCAAATTAAAAGTGTTGTTACTCTCTGAGTTTGATAGTGGTATTGATGAATGAGTATGGAGGTTGAGTCCCTACTGTTGTAGGACTTGACCTTCAACTTGGTCCTATCATAATGTCCATGCCCCCTTTTTGGTCAAGATAGAAATCCCCTCACCAAGCTTGCATATCCCTTCGTTAATCTCTTGATGATTGACTTACCCAGGGAGGTCTCTCAGTACAAGAATTATCCTGTACACAGCTGAGCATCTGTACATTCGAGGTGATCTTGTCTCTGACGGTCTGATAAACGAGGTTATCTCTTGCAGGGTCGACCCCATCGCAGGTCAAGTTAGTACTGTATTCCAGGTTCATCTCCATGGCAACCTTATTTGGTGGCTTGTACTCTGCAAGAGATATGAAGTGTGCTGAAGCAACTGAGACAATGTACACTCTACGACTCTAGCTATACAGCAGGAGTGGTCCTCCATCTGTCAATACACAAACATTGTGTGGTTAGTGTAAGCTCATGGTGTAAGCCTATGTATGTACATTGCCTGGCTGCCAGAGCTTGGCAAAATTCAGATGAAATCTATGATCTGCCTAAATGGCATGCTGCATATAGAAAACTGACTTCAGTTGGATTTAAACCAGCAACCTCCAAGATACAAAACTGACTAAAGTACATCTCCAACTTCCAACCACTAGAGTACAAAACTGACTGCAGCAAGATTCAGATCTGCAATCTATAAAATCATCTGCAAGGTTTAAGCCTACAAACTCCAGAATATACTGAAGGATGATTCATACCTGTAACCTCCGGAATACAGTTGAACCTCATTAATAAGAGCACCATTAATACAAGATTCTGCTTATAACAAGGACATTTTTAGGTCCAAATCCTTGTTTTTCATTTTTTTTTCCTGATAATACAGGGTTCCTGTTATAACAAGGTAACAAGCTAAGTCCGAAGGACCTCTTAATACAAGGTTCGACTGTACAAAAAACTATCTGAAGTTGGATTCAAACCTCCAGGTGATCTTATTTCTATTAAAGGGCAATATGAAACCTTCATATATTGTGTGGCTGGTAACCACGCCCTGAGTAACAATGCTAGCTGTGCTGAACAACAATACTTCACACTGGAAGATGACGGTCAAGGATGACTGCTAAAATATACTTTGTACCCCTGACCTACAGAAGAGGCGTATTTGGACAACATTAACCCCAAAACTGGAAGAATAAATGTTCACTGTGTTCATTGCCTCTATGAGATTACTTTTGTCTCTACGGAAATGTTAAGGCCAACAGAATGACATGAGTAGAGGGTTCATTAAAGTCACTTGGTAAATTGACAAGGCTGTCTATGCCAATGTTTGAACATATCTGAAAATTATCTCCTCTAGTTTGAAAGGGTAATTCAAATTCTAGGTTCATTGAAACTGCACTGATATCCTACTTACTTGTACACTGCGGGAGGGCCAGTCTTGGGTTGTCTTCTGTCTCATGGGACCACTTGTAGTTGGTAGATGGACTACATTGGTAGAAGGGTAGAACGGCCCGGCTGAATGAGTAGCCTTGCCAACAGGAGATGGTACAATTCTGTTCCTGGCCATCAATTTGACAGACTAGGTTTCCTCTGAAAGGGTTTGACACATTCCTACAGCCTGAAAGAGAACATGAGTGGACAATCACATGTCACATGATCAGAGCTGCGATTTTACTTCAAATTAAGATGTACTGGAATATTGGCTTGTGAAATCAGTGATGCATCTGCAGGCAGGTTCTATGGTGGAAGCCATCTCAAAAGTCTACTTGTTATCCTTCAGTCACCTGGACTCAGGAAAGAAATGTACACAGGGTCAACCAAGAAGACAGATAATAGACATTGACTGAATACCACCTTGGACAGGGTCCTATATCTGGCCCGCATTGAAAAGACAAGAGCAGCACACTGTGCTTGTTTCAGGACCAAAAGAAACTCATGCCACACCGCGCAATCTAGGCTCTTTTTACAAGGCGGCAGGCCTGGCTGAAATACTCGGGCAGATTAGAGTAGCCACCAGACAGTCACTGGATGCAGTTTAGGCATTCAGGTAAAAAATAAAAACTGAAAATATTGAAAAATCACCCGTATGTAGGCACTGCATTTTCAAATGGCACCCTGCAGGAAGTGCAACTATAGGTTGCACTACCAATGTCAAACTTAATTGCCTTAGTCATGTCGACCTCCCCAGCACCCCTTTAATTACAGGTTACGTTTCCAAATTGTTTCTGATATGATGGAATATTTATGCGTGAAAACATTGCAATGATAAATCCCTCTACCGCACAAGTCTGAATAACACACTCTCAGTCAAGTACAGACATTAACACAAGAGAATTAACGTTGTCGAGATATACTCAAAATTCCTTGCATGGTAAGCTACGTCAGGGTGAATATGAGATATACTCTTAAA